ATACTTGTTACTACCTTACTACAATTACAATTATTCAATTGCAAATATCATCATCATCTTGATTATATTTCTTTCTTCTCGGTTCTCACTAGTCACTACTAAATTTTTTAATCCTACTATATTATGGATTCTCGCGATTCTTCTTCTCAAAATCCTATTTTCAATAATAGTTGCTCTCCATATGGGCCAAACCGGAAAAATTCTATATTTTTATAATTTTATTTACACAATCATACGGGCCAAACCAGAACGAACCGCTACCCGTGACCCGCATGGGCTCGACCCGGATGGGTCAGCGGGCGGGCTTGGGTTGTAGTCCAAAATTGTGGGCCGACCCTAACCGGCCCGGAACCCGCAGCGGGCGGGCTTTTTTTCACGCGGGCCATTACCGGGCTCACATGTTGGCGGGCCGACCCGGCCCGGACCACCCGGATTGACACCTCTATATATGACTATAATTTGTTTAATTGCCATTCTCGTTCCTTAGTTATACTCCGCTATAGTAAATTGTTAAGCGTACTGACATTTGGCAATTTAATAAGCTCGTTTAGCACCTTTCCACGCACCTTAAATTTTTTTCTTGCTCATGCACTTTAATGTTGGACGCACAAGAACTACAAAGACCTTCCATTTCCCGTTATTGTGGGATTTTTGGGAAGTTCTAATTGAGCTTTTAAAGAAGTTTGATTTCCACGTTATTCATCAGTATAGAGAAACTAATCAGGTGGCAGATGAATTGGCGAAGTTAGGTGCGAAGGGGAAGACAAAACGGTTCTTATCATGTATGGAACTGCCATGTTATTGTCGAGGGTTGATTTGTTTAGATAGGCTGGGTGTATTGTACCTTCGTAAGAAAAGGTTGGCTATTTTGAGTTCTTTGTTTATCTTGATAGGATCTTAGATTATTTGTTATTCTTTTATTGGTTGATGGTCTGTTACTACGATTTTCCTCCACCTTAAGTGAGGGTTTTATGAATAAATGCCTGGAGGTACCGCCTCCTTTAAAAAAAAATGTATGTTCTCTATGGAGAAATGGTATAAACCACCTATAGTTTTAGTAGAAATTAAGTGGACCACGACATGTGCCCTAAGAATAGAATACGAAATAAGTTTAGGCCAATTTAACTCAGTGCTCTTGATGGATTATGTGATAAAATTAGGATGGAACATACCAAATATACACGTTTATTAAGGAAGTAGAGTCAAGAAATAATTATGATTTATTTGATTGATTATACCTATTCCTTTCCACAGTTATTACAGTTAAAATTCGGAGGATATTCTCTTCTCTCTTATGTTTCTCTCTCATTTTGAATCAACTGTCATTGTGGGACAGGACATTGGTAAACTAAATATCAAATGGAATTAGACCAGTTGATGAAAATGCCTGATAAAGACCTAAAAACAAGGAAGTTCACTGCATTAAGAAATTAATTGCAGATGAATGGATTAAGAATGTTATAAAAAAAATTACTGGGAAAGGTAAATAATCAGAGGAAGTATTCACTAGCCGTGGCCAATGCTAGATTGAAACCAATCAGAGGAATGGAGATGATGGTCCTACTGTATTTAGTATCGGATATGCTCAAGTAAATTGTATAGAAACACTAGGGATGGCAACTACGTAGGTCGGCGCTGGGTATGCCCTACCCATCGGGGATTTTCACCTGTAGGCCCTGCCCGTATCCCTGCTTAAGGCGGGGCAGGGAAACCACCTCCTCTTTACATACCCTTTTCTTATTTTTTGCAATTACTTTTTTCTTTTTAAAGCTGCTGCCATGTTATGGCAAAAATACAGAAATTGTGGTTCATATATCATAATGGCGCAAAAGTGAGATAAAGCAGCTCCTGTGCTAGTGGCAAAAATTCAGTTTAAACCAAGTAACTTAATGACCATTAATGATCCAGACATTAAATTCTGCACGAGGATTAAGGATGCAATCATTAGAAATACTCCCTCCGTCCCAATTATACAGACTGGGTTTCCTTTTTCTCTTGTCCCAAATATATAGGCTTGTTTCCTAATGTAGAATATTTTATTGTGTTCTTTTACTAATATACCCTTATTAAATTTTCCCCACTTAATATGCAAACTTCTTGAAAATTCAAATTCTTTATGAATTCCAACAATAATTTAGTTTTACCCACTGAAAATTAAATAGGGGTAAACTAGGAAAGATCTTGGCAAAAATTAATTTTCCAATGACATTAAATAAGTTTTCTTAATCCGTGTGAAAAACCAAACAAGCCTATATAATTGGGACGGAGGGAGTAGTATATACCGCTATTCCCTGTCGTCCAAAAAATCAGGTTTTGCTGGGTGTAGCCAAGGGTATTTTATCAAGTTTTTTTGCAATATAAAATAGGCAGGTTCCCATCCCCGACTGGGTACCAAGTTAAGCGGTAATCCCTACCTTGTTCGGGATAGGTTCCCGTGGGATGTTAAGGGATATATATCCCACATCGATAAATGATGTTGACACAGACCAATTAATAAAGATTTTTGGCTATTCCTCTTAACAAGGTTGACCTTTTAAAATGGAACCCTAATTCTTAACATGGTATCAGAGACCATTATACTCAAACGAGCGATTCGATCCCGTTAAGACTCTAAAATGAACACGTGGATTTCAAGATTGGTCTGCTCAAATGAACCACCATCTTGCGGGAGCGTGTTAAAGGATATATATCCCACATCGATAAATGACGTTGACACAAACCAATTAATATCTTGAGCTACTCCTCTTAACAAGGTTGACCTTTTAAGATGAACCTCAATTCTTAACATGGGGATTGGGTCTATTACTTTTTCTTCCCCATCTCTAAGAAACACATGGTATTTCATATTTTGCGGCTGTAAAAGTTTCTCCGTCAAAGAATCTCTCTTGGCAAATAGTGCATGAGCCTGAGCAAACTGATAGATGGTAAAGAATTTCCACTCTGAGAAGATTGTGCGTCTAAGTTAAAAACTATGGCAGGTGCAAATTATCTATCTGAAGAAAATCTCTGCCCCTGTTTGTCTACCATTAATTCAAAAAATTGTTTGCTACAGTAAGATTCTTCACCACACATTCACCCAATAAAATATTTTACACACAAACCTATAAAGTTACTTTAATTTTCAACCACACATCCTCCAAAAAATACTATACATTACACTAATTTTCTCCCAATAATGGGAGACAAACAAGCTCTCTCTCTTATCAGTTTAAATGAGGTGGCATAATTCTATTGGCCAATAGTACAAAACAGCCAGCCAGAAAAAGATGATCAATCAAAGTGAGTTCTAGTATTAAGGTCAATTCCAGTCTATCTATCTCATGTCCATTTTCAGCATCTCAATGCCTTCAACTATTTGTCACCCCTTTCTTCTGCATCTCTCATCCACTTCTCTTTTAAAGTCATAATCAGCCTAATTATGGTTGTGAATATGATATATACCCAACTCCAACTACCAGCAGTACATTACACTCCCTATTATTTTATCTATATTTATCATTATTTGCAATCACTTGATAAACATTAAATCTTTTAGTCATTTAGAGGCATGGAAGGGAACCACCTACCCCAATCTAGACTTGTAATAATTGATCTAGCATGCTCACGCTCATAGAGGTACTTTTGGCTCAAATGATATATAAATTTATAAGGACGAATTTAGCTTTTCCGAGGAGTAAAAGAGTTGGTAGCATACATAAATTGGATTTTTCATGCAACATGTAAAGTTTGTGTTTTTAAAAATTGGTGGTGGTTCCGAAACTACGGATAGCTATGATGACTTCCAAAACTGTATATGATGAAAAAAATGTGATGTGGAATTTTGGTCTGAGTTCTAATCTTTTACATCATGTCTCCCACTTGGGTTGATGTTGCTATCAGGTCATCTGTTTCGTTGCAAGTTCTGATGTCTGTTTAAAATCTATTAGTAGATACAAGGATGGTGGCTTGTGTATCAGTGATGTGTTCATTTTGGATTGCAACATTTTCTCATGATATTTGAAAGGCGTCTCTTTATCTTGGACACTAACCTGATGTAATTTTAAATTTGTCTATTGAGTTGCAATTTGGAAAATTTACAAGTTAAAACAGTTTAAGCTACTATTCTAATATAGGAACATAGTATTGTAGTCTAATATAGATTTTGGCCATGAGACTTGTGTTCATTGCTCAATACCACTGCTAATATAGAAAGGGGTTTGTTTTCACGTACACCAGTGACCAGACTTGACTTGGTATTTCTTTGTTGAAGTTTTTTTGAGTTGGTAGCTGATGATCCTCACTGCCTCTGATTGAAGCTGGCATGCACATACAGGAACAGATGATATAATGTCCACACAAGGAACGTACTCTCCATATGTATCAGTACACCTTGTCTTAATCACTCTGTCCCCACCTTTGTATCCATTTGATATATATCGATCCCTCCCTCCATGTGCGTACTGCCCGCACTTTTAATATTTTAGGGGATAGCCACTACTTTTGGGCGTCTTAGTAAAACGTAGTGGAAGAGGTTTTCCCCACCCATCATTCATGTGAATTTGGACATGCCATCCAAGCTGTATGTCTTTCTCTTTTGCTTGGAATCATTGTGTTGCATACACAAAATGAAATCATGAAAATTGAATATATCAAGTGATTGCCATCAAGTTGTTTTTTTTTTTGTAGAATAAACTTGATCATAAAGAGAGAATTCTCTCTCTTTCCTTGTTGGGTCGGGGTGGGGTGGGGGTGAGGCTGGTGGTCAATTCATGGGATACAAAAGAGGGGTGTAATTTAAGGAAGAATGAGGCATGCAAATATTAAAAGTCTCACCTAATTTAATAATTAATTATATACTGATTTTATTCAACTTGACACATCTTCAACTAACATGTCAGTTTCCCTGTCACATTCTCATCTTCAACTCATAGTACAGCCCCACCCCTCCGTTTTAAGTTACTAGATTAATATGGTCGGATTTCAATTTGAGAAATTAGGATTGTACTTTTTGCGGGTTTTAGCCCTCCAACTTTTACAAAGAGTTTCGAGCTCTTCAACCTATTTGAAAATAGGGAAATTTACAGTCAAGGTACCAAACCTTTCATTTGTACCATCCACAGTACCAAATGAATTTCCTTGCCAATAACCCTGAACCATGGATTCAAGAATATGAAACTAAAATTCTTATGACCAAAGAATATGGAGAAACTGAAACTCTAGAAAATCAAGGTACCATAAAAGCTGAAGAAATTGGAAGCCGAAACTCTTCAAACAAGAAAAGGCAAAAACCTCATCACAACCCATAGCAATATGAGGAGAAAAAATTCAATGATTATTGCTCCAAATTACGTCCAGATCAAAAAATAGCAGAAAAAGAAAATAGCCTCCACAACATTCTCTCTTCCTTCAACAAAGAAAATAACATAAAAATAGGAATTTGGATTTGGATTTGGATACGTGGGGCCTTTTTTGTTTTTTGCTTTTTTCTTTTTCTAATTATTATAATTATTTTATATTAAAATTGCAAACTTACTATTTTGTCCTTATTAGATTTGGTCAATTTTTACTATTCCAATCAACTAACGGTCAAATGGATGGACTCCGGCTGCTATGTTTTGAAAGGTTTGATACTGTGATTGGCACAAATGAAAGATTTTGGCAAAATCTGTTATTAAATGAAAAGTTTGATACCGTAACTATTATTTTTCATTAAAAATATGTGAATGTGGATTGAGCGCGATGGACACTAGACAATGAAATTGCAAGTGAAATTTACTTGACTTAAACTTCAAGGGTTTAATGTAAAAACTAGTTAGCAAGTCTAATCTAATTTTAGAAAAGGTTAGGTTGTACTAAGATTTGGGCGTGGAAATATGAAATGGTTTAATACAATTTCGAGAAAAGAAATACAATAATTTGACCAATCTTGTGTAATGATCAATCAATAAAAAAATTATTGTCAAACCCTAGGATCAATTAATAAAGGAAAAATTGCAGCTGTGGTCCCAAACCTTTCATTTTGTTGCAGATGACACAAACCTTTTATTTTTGCGGTCGAAGTCCTAAACCTTTATACGTAGTTGCAGCGTAGGTTCCATGCCTTTAATTCCGTCCATAAAATCGTCAGTCAACGTTTCAACAGTAATTTTGACTAGAAAAAATTGCAGCGCTGGTCCCAAACCTTTCATTTTGTTGCAGATTACACCTAAACATTTAATTTTTGCAACAGAAGTCCCAAACCTTTATATAAAAGCGTTGGTCCATTTCACGCATTTCGTCCATAAAATCTTCAGTTAACGTTGAAACAGTAATTTTAACTCAAATGACATCTTAATTGATGGGTAAAATTATCAAAACAAGTTATCCAAAAAAATGTTTGTTTTCTTCAAATCCTTCAATTTCTTCACAGCCATCACATTCTCATAATCGATAACCATCTGATCAGATAACAATTTGATCCGATTTGTTACAATAATTGAATTGATAAATTATTTTTACGGCATGTTATTTGTCACTAAAATAAATAAATGAGAAAATAAAAATAAACAAATTGAATTTGGTACTATAATTTGTATGTATTATTAAATAATTTTTAAATTGATTAAAAATAAAAAATAATATTAAAATAAGAAAATATATTTTTAATAATATCTATGCTTAGGCTTTGTCTAAACATGCCGGTTTAAGATTAGCGTTGTAATTTTTTCATTTTTTATGACATGTTATTGTCACTAAAATAAATACATGAGAAAATAAAAAAGTTTAGCACTAAATAAAAATTTTTAATATTATTTTTTTATTTTTAATTAAAAAATGTATTTTTTATTTTAATATTATTTTTAATTTTTAATCAATCTAAAAATTATTTAATAATACATACAAATAATAGTACCAAATGTAGTTTATTTATTTTTATTTTCTCATTTATTTATTTTAGTGACAAATAACATGTCATAAAAATAATTTATCGATTCGATTATTATGACAAATCGGATCGAATTGTTATCTGATCAGATAGTTATCGATGATGAGAATGTGATATCTGTGAAAAGATTGAAGGATTTGAAGAAAACAAACATTTTTTTTGGATAACTTGTTTTGACAATTTTACTTATCAATTAAGATGTCATTTGAGTTAAAATTACTGTTTGAACGTTGACTGACGATTTGATGGACGGAATGCGTGAAATGGATCAACGTTGTAATTATATATAAAGGTTTGGGACTTCAGCAGCAAAAATTAAAAGTTTGGATGTAATCTGCAACAAAATGAAAGGTTTGGGACTAACGTTGCAATTTTTTCGAGTCAAAATTACTGTTGAAACATTGACTGACGGTTTTATGGACGAAATTAAAGGTTTGGGACCGACGCTGCAACTACATATAAAGGTTGGGACTTCGGCCGTAAAAATAAAAGGTTTGGGTGTAATCTGCAACAAAAAGAAAGGTTTGGGACCACGGCCGCAATTTTCCCATTAATAAATGTTTAAAGTTTCTCCTCTCTCTTTAAATAAACTGAAAGAAAAGCAGCAAGCAACTGCTCTATCCTTGTCCGACCAACTGTCTCTGACTGACACCACCTCTTTTTGATTTTGGAGGGTCTCAACTTTCGTAATTTAACGCTTTCAACAAGGCTACTTCTGTAATTTAAATGTAAGCAACCCAAATGTTGAATCAATCACTTCTTTGTTCCTTCTCTGCTACTGCTGTCTGTCTATAGTATAAACACGGTGGAATATCTCAAGAATAAACTAACATTCTCGTACACAAGACAAATGTTGTCAGCATTTTAGCGGCAACTCATTCATAACGCTCTCATCTTGCTACTTCATCTCCAACCATGTCTACCAAATCCAAGTAAGTGGATATCTCATCTCAGGTTTTCTTGGGCTTTTTTGTTTTGTCTACCTACCGTTTTTCTGCCCTCTTTCTTGTTTATGGGGTTCGAATTTTCTTTAGTTTTATGCCTCAATTCTTGATTTTTTATGTTATTTCATTCAATCCCTAACTTTTCGATTGCAATTTCATAATATATGTTTTCGTACATATGCTTTGATTTATTTTGCAAAGACTAGTTACGATTTTCTCATGTTCATAGATCTGCTTTATCTGAAACTCCCAACCAAAAAGAATCACCAGCTACTCCTCGGGTGAGCAAGCCCAGTAGGGGATTTGCTAAATCTGAAGTTGATTCACCCTCTCTACTACAGCAAAGTTCTCGCTTTTCAGTTGATCGGTCTCCTAGATCTGTTCCTTCGAAGCCTACACTGGACCGACGGTCTCCCAAGTTCACTACACCACCTGATGTAAGTTTCTGCTATTTCTTTTATAACTTGGAATTGAATTTTCGAATTGCTGGTATGATTTCAGTAGTTGGTGATAAGAAGCAAGAGTTCAAGTGTTGGTAGCTGGATTAGAAGATATCTATATTTGGGATTTTAGGATTCAATAGGATAACACCGGAAATAAAACTGGCCTTTTTACCTAACGATGAAATTTCCCTTGAAATCAATTTACTTAGAAACGATGAACATCTGAAATACTTGCCTTTTAATCTTGCATTGTTTATTGATCTTTTTTGGTCAGAAAAAAACAACTCGGATATTGAAGCCGTCAGAACTTCAGGCAGAATTAAATCTTGCTCTGGAAGATCTTAGGAAGGCCAAGGAGAAGTTGGTTTTGGTTGAGAGAGAAAAAGCACAAGCACTTGACGAGCTTAAGGAAGCCCAAAGATGGACTGAGGAAGCAAATGAAAAGCTCAGGGAGGCTTTGGTCGCTCAAAAGCGGGCTGAAGAGGATTCCGAGATTGAAAAGTTCCGAACCGTTGAGATGGAACAGTCAGGCATTGAAGCGGCTAAGAAGAAGGAAAATGAATGGCAGGAAGAGCTTATAGCAGTGCGAAACCAGCATGCTTTGGATGTGGCTGCTCTTCTCTCTGCCACTCAGGAGCTGAAAAAGGTGAAGCAAGAACTGGCCATGACATCTGATGCCAAAAATCAGGCTCTTAGTCATGCTGATGATGCAACTAAGATTGCAGAGATTCATGCAAAAAAAGTGGAAATTCTTTCTGCAGAGTTAGTCCGCTTGGAATCCATGCTTGATTCAAGGCTTGAAATGGAAGCTAATGAAAATAATAAAATAGTGGAGGAATTGAAATTGGAGATAGAATTTCTGAGACTAGAACTCGAAAAGACCAGGGGCTACGAAGAGAAACTGTCGGAAAATGAGGCTACCTTAGAGCAACTTAATGTGGATCTGGAGGCTGCAAAAATGGCTGAATCTTATGCTCGTAATTTAGTAGAGGAGTGGTGGAGGAGGGTGGAGGAGTTAGAGGTGCAGATGGAGGAAGCAAAGCACTTGGAAAGAACTGCATCGGAATCTCTTGAATTAGTCATGAAACAACTTGAAAGAAGCAATGATTCATTGCATGCTGCAGAATCTGAAATCTCATCCCTTAAAGAAAAGGTGGATTTACTGGAAATCTCAATTGGAAGGCAGAACGGTGATCTTGAGGAATCAGAATTTCGTCTTCAACAGGCCAAGGAAGAAGTTTCTGAAATGGCAACGAAGGTTGCATCTCTTACTTCTGAGCTTGAAACTATAAAGGAGGAGAAGACTCAGGCCTTAAACAACGAGAAACATGCTTCTGACAGTTTACAGTCTCTGTTAGAAGAGAAAGAAAGACTTATAAATGAGTTGGGAAATTCCAGGGATGAAGAAGAAAAAGGCAAGAAGGCAATGGAAAGTTTGGCATCAGCCTTACATGAAGTTTCTTCAGAAGCAAGGGAGGTCAGGGAAAAGCTATTATCTTTGGAAGTTGAGCATGGAAACTATGAAACTCGAATAGAAGATCTGAAGCTGGTTATGAAAGCAGCAAAAGAGAAATACGAGACCATGCTTGATGGTGCAAAACAAGAGATTGATGTTCTGACTAATTCTGTCGAACAGTCAAAGCATGAGTACCAGAATATGAAGGCTGAGTGGGAGCAGAAAGAGATTCATTTGATTAACTGTGTGAAGAGAACTGAAGAAGACAACTCTTCTAAAGAAAAAGAAATAAGCAGGTTTGTCAATTTGCTAAAAGTGGCAGAAGAAGCAGCTTGTGCATCAAGGGTAGAAGAAGATCGCTTGAAAAATTCCCTTAAGGATGCTGCATCGGAGGTGATTTATCTGAAGGAAGTCCTGGCCGAAGCAAAGGCCGAGAGCATGACACTGAAGGAAAGTGTAATAGATAAAGAGAATGAATTGCAGAATATCCTTCAGGAGAATAAGGAGCTTCGATCTAGAGACGCTGCTTCTCTAGAGAAGGTTGACGAGTTGTCCAAGTTGCTTGAAGAAGCTTTGGCTAAGAACCAATCAGAGGATAATGGTGAGCTGACGGACTGTGAGAAAGATTATGACGTGCTCCCGAAAGTGGTGGAATTTTCCGAACAGAATGGTGCAAGAGAAGTGAAGCCTATGATTGAGCTTCAACCTCAACAAAGTGAGCAACCTGTAAAGGAAAAGCCCCATGAATTAAATAAGGACTTCAATGACATATCGATTCACGCTAATCCAGAAGTTGAGAATTTGAATGTAAAACTATCTGAAAATGAGAACAGAGAAAAGGAATATGATAATTCTGCAGAAGGCAATTTTAAGATGTGGGAGAGCTGCAAGATTGAGGAGAAAGACCTCTCTCCTGATGGAGGACCAGAGCATGAATCCTTCGAGGAGGAGCTGGACTCGAAGACGGAGGGTGGCGACAACTGTGACCAGATCAATGGATTATTGTCAACAGAAAATCATGAAAATGGTGGAACCTCACCTTCAAAACAGAAAAGTCAGAAGAAGAAACATTTGCTTCGTAAATTTGGAAGCCTTCTAAAGAAGAAGGGCGCAGGCAACCAGAAGTGATAGAGCAAGCTACCTATAGCCCGTTTTGTGTCTGACCAGTAGAGTAGGAAGGTATTCTAGATTCTACATCGCACTTGGATATGTTTGGTCCATGCTTTTTCCTTCATATTTTATCCTTTCTGGTCTAAATATGAAAAGGCCTGTGTTGTCTTTAGATCTTTTTTCTAACTCTTTAGATGCTAATAGCCATGTTGCGAATTAAAATTAAGTTGTTTGGTGTATTAATTATATATATTGTGTTGAAGGTTACTTTTCTTGTTTTGAGCTTTGCTTTCTTTCTCTTCCCTCCCCTTTGACATGCCCAACAAATTAATAAAAATGAGATGTAATCATATCTAAATAGGTCTATTGCACAAAATTTTGAGAGTGGAATTTCTGATCATATCAAAGTTCCATGTTGTGGTGACTTTGAGTCTTGTTGCTAAACCAACAACCATTCTCCTAATTACATCTTTTGCCGTCTACTTCAATTGTCCTCTCAAGGAGCTTATACATTAAGAATGCCTTTTTACTGTCCAACTACATCAGATACTACATGGAACAGTTTTCCCAGGTTTGTCAATCAAAATTTTTCGACTCGTGTGTTTACTTCACAAGTCTATTTATGGTCTCAATGGTTTTCTTTGTTGCAAAGCCCCCTCATCTCTCTTCATCGAAGTATACTTTCCTCCATCAAAGATACTCTTATGGACTTCATTTCTTTTCTTAAAGTAACTCTATCTCTTTGCTTTTTGTGATGTTGACTGGGTTGGCTGCCCTAATATCCATTAAACCAGTGTCTTCTTAGGAGCGAACTGCATCAGTTGTGTATTGAAGAAGCAGCCAGCCATTTCTCGTTCAAATGCCAAAGCTGAATGCTGCTCAATGGCTACAACCATGTCCAAGTTTAATGGCTACTCTCTCTCTTCCAAGAACTCAATCTTGAACTAGGACAGGCTCCAATACTTTTTTGCGACAACAAGAGCACCCTTTAGATAGCACACAATCCAGTTTTCCATTCCCGCGCTTCATATATCAAATTAAATTACCATTTTGTATGAGAAAAAGATCCAAACAACTAGCAGATATTCTGCATTATCATGACAATTTCACCGAGTCAAGCTTGAGAGGGGTCTGATAATATCAAAACAAAAGGCTATTGCTGTCATGAGATTTCAATTTAGTTTCAAATTTCACCATTGTATTACGTTTTATCAATCTTTCAAATTAACAGAAATTATTCAGTTGACAGTCGTACCATAACCGATCTTTCACATAATCTCTATATGATACCGTAGAAGCAAAAATTGTAAAATGAGGATTATGTGAAGTCTTCAGATTAAAATGTCAAAATATGTTTTTTTTTATTTTTATTTTTTAAATATCAACACATTTATGATGTGGTGGTTTGATAAATTGGTTTGCCATGCAGCAATGACGTAGAAAATCGTCGTATGCCAGTCAATTAAGGTTTTTTTTTGCCAATTTAGGAGATGGAAAGTGATGCATGGGTAAAATTTGAAACTAAATTGAAATTTAGTTACCAGTTTCAACAAATTAAACTTTAGTGATCAAATTGAAATTTTGCTGAGAATTCAATGACAGAAATGAAATTTACCCAGAAAAAAACATATAGCTTTCAGCAATCTTTTTTAAATTCTTACCCGTCACATCACACTAGAAATGCCGTGGGGGACGATCCATTTTGTTTGTGATATAGCAATTTGGACAATTTCATTTGTACCGAATTTTTTGTACCGAAAATGTTACATCTTCTCACATGCGCGCGGGGCCCGCATGAATAAAAAATTCTCAAATGTGTAGTCCCTACATCCGATTGTGAGTGTAGATAAAAAAATTAAATAAAAAGTGGATGTACATGTAACATTGTCCATAGCAATTTAAGACGGAAATGTCATTTGTACACCTTTTTGTATATACCATTGTTGACGGTATTCGACTTGTCAACAAATGATTCGATCAAACAATTGTATTTTTTTAAATTGTCCAATAATATGTTATCACATGACAAAATATAAAACTATATGATTGATTTAAGAAACTCCGTAAAGCTTACAAAATTGTTAGTGGGTTTGGTCCTTGGACAATTTCAAATGGGTTGACCATGTTATCTAAATTAAAATTATTAGTAACTTACAACAAGAAATAGTAATGGAAATCTTGGAATTGTCGATAGTAAATAGATAGTAAGTATGATGTGTGATTGAAATTAATGTTTGATTTATCTAATAAACTTACCGAAACATAGGCATAAAAATCAAAAATTATTTGGCTCGATGGCAATTCACCAATTGACATCTGCAATCTGACTTGAATCAATCTAGTTGTACAACTAGTAATGAGTTGTCAAGATTCATTCCGTTGATTTAAGAAATAGTTTTAAAACGGATGGACGTAATGCTTGTCAAATGTGAAGTTATAAAAAAAATTGTACGAGTAGCGTGACTGATCTAATCTTATAGATGTATTTTGTATGAGATGGGTGGTGCAGGTAGGGGTGGCAATTGGGTCGAGCGGCTTGTCGGCTCGAGTGCTCGGCTCGTACTATTCATACCCACGAGCCGCTCGGCCTCATAAAAAAACGAGCCCGAGCACGAGCCGAGCAGGTGGCTCGAAAGACGAGCCGAGCAGGCTCGGCTCGTTAAGCAACGAGCCTCTCGGCGAGCGGCTCGTCTAGACACGATCCACGAGCCAGCTCGGCTCGTGGCTCGTGTCTAAAAGGAAAAAAAAAAATTTTTTTGACACAAACGGTCACTGAACAAATCAGTGACCGTTTGTGTCAAAAAAAAAAATTTTTTTTTTTTTTCAATTTCATATACATTTTTCTTCTATAAATGCCCACCATAATCAATCATTTTTTCCCACCAATATCAATCTCTCATTATTCTCTCATTATTTACTATACAAATACAATACTCTTTACAAATTACATTCTTATTTCTCCATAATTCCATTTATCAATTATCAAAATTCAACAATATCATTCTCATTTATTTTCATTCATTCTATATTTCTATAATCATCATCTTCTTCTTCTACTCTTTTTTTACATTTCTCAATTCTACATTTCTAAATTCAATTTTTATTATTCATAACAAATGGATTCACGATCATTTGTTGAAATGTTGTTCGGTATGGAGAACGAAACACAAACACCTGCTCAAACTCAAAATTAATTTGGGAATGAATTTTCCGGTCTCAATGAATTACCAATCCCCGAAAATATTGAAGATTTCAACGTTCGTGATAGTCATCCAATTAATTTGGATGACATTGATGATGTTCCAATTGATTTGGAACAAAATGAAGAACCGAAATTAAATATTCCCGATGCAACCGAGAAGAGAAAGGGGAAGAAGTAGGCAAAATGTTGGGATCATTTCAAATTGGTTCCCACTGGTCGTGTGGTCGATGGATTTCGAGAAACCAAAGCAGTATGTAAATACTGCCAACAACGACT